CATCAACCACTCCATGAAATGACTGAAACCCGACGAAATGTTCTGCAGTTGTTGCATGTTGCAAGAATCTGCGAAAAGACCTCGCTTACTGTCAGACTATTGGGCCAAGTATGAAACATAATTTGAATATGATATGAATATATATATATATGAATGATATGACCTGATATGACCATTACATGTACTGGATGGATATGTCTATCCCGTTGTCGTTTCAGCATCGCAAGCCGTCCGCTGCTAAGGTCGTGTCTCAAGGCAGCGTCGTTCCTCCTTGCTCCAGGCCGTTGCTTCTTCTTCATGGACGCGTTCAGCTGCCGGGAGTTCTTCATCCTTGGCTGGGAGTGACCATGAGCATCATGAGTGACCCATATTAATCATGTGTCCCATCATATGTTTCCTGTTTAAAAAAAGGGAGAGATCCAAAATGATCCAAATATGGACCGATTTCAGAAAGGTTTCCAGGAGATATTCTGGAATTCTGCTTCACAAGTATCGGCTGCGGATAATTGTGCCACCTGCTGTGCAAATCGATCTTCGTGCTTCTGCACAGCCACCACAATCCTCGGATCGAAAAGTATAGAAACTGTACTAGAACCTACAGGGGTGCTTGGAGAACCAATTGAATCCTACTGCTTAGACTTCACATCTGCTGTCTTGGCAGCCCAGATGCTCTTCCAGATCCATACGGAGACGAGTTTCTCGTTGCGACTCTGCTTCCTTGGCAGCTAGATCTCTCTCAAGAGTTGCCTCAGAGGCAAAGTTTTTCTCGAAATCTCTGGCAAATTGGTCCCAGTCCCCTACCAGTTTGGGGTTTCAAGTTTATTCATTTCATTGTGCTGCAATGCTATTCTTGAAAACTCCGCACACCATACCTTGAAGGTCATCCATAGATAAGATATGTCTGTACTACGTATGTTTTCCTGAGCTTTAGATTGCAACACATATCACTCAAACATGTTCTAGAGAGTGCATGTGCTGAATATCGATGAAGTAGAAGATGCATGCGATTGTATGCGTACTTATTACATCGTTTTCCCGGTCAAACATGTTCAAACCAATGACATATGATTGGTTCATGTGGTATAGACCGTATACATCACCCAGCAAGGCAAAAGCATCGAACAGCCATGCCACTTCTGTAGCTTGCTTCTTTGCTCTTTGAGCTTCCTCGGCGGCCACCTTTGCTTCTTCTTGGGCAGCTTGGAGATCTTGAGTTGCCTTCAGCAACTGAGCAATATTGAAGTGCAATGAATGGTAAGAAAACATTGCAAAATAAAACAGTCCCAGCCACAGTCAGTTTGGTCAGTTTCGGATACTTTTGGGGCTTGACAAACAAAGTTGTTGCGGAAACTTGCTATACATTGCATCTCTCCATTTCCATCTTCCGATCTCGACTTCGACTCCTCGGCAAGCTGAGATCGCATGTTCTCCAGGGAGGCATTGTCCCTCACTGGAACTGCCACGTCCTTTGGATCAACACTTCAGGTCAGCAAATGAGCACTGGGTTTTGAAAATCACGGTACCCTAAAAAACTCACGGTTTCTGCCATTTTTGTGGGGTAAAATATGGTGATTGTACCCAAAAATGGTTTTGAAATGACAATGTCTTGGATGATTTTGAGGTCCCCCATTTTAAGTTATTATATATATATATATGTGATATATAAATATAGAGAGAGAGAGATATATATAGATATAGATATGATATGTATATATATATATATGATATGTATATATATATATATATATGATATGTATATATATATATACATTAATATATATATATATATGATATGATATGTATATATATATATAATTATATATGATTATATATGATGTATGGTATCACTTCGTTCCGTTATTCGGTTTGTCTCTCAAAAAGACAGCTCCTTCCCACTCCTTGCGATCAAGCCAAGTTCTGGGAATGGATTGAACATGATTGAAGATCCTTCAGCTTGAAGCAACGTGAACCTTCCGAACTCCCTGACCCTTGGTGGCTGCTATCCAGTTCCCTGGTGTCCTGGGGAACATCATCCAACAGTCTGAGCCAAGGCAACACTCTGAAGACGCAAGTGCCTGAGCTCTGGGGGTAGACCCTAAGGAATCTCAGTCTAACAAGACTGAATCACCAAAAGCTTTCGGTGAACATGTGAGAGTTGTCTAGAATTGGAAGGTACTCTTGGTATCTCTGGGTATCTCTGGGTACTCTAAGTGCCAAGGAACGGTAAATGGGGTCGTCACAAATGCTGTTCCCGTTGTCACTTGCCTTTTCCTGGAATGCCACTTGCTGCAGTGCAGTACAACCACCCAGGAAGAGCAGCTGGGAGACTTGATCGATTCGATTGCACCTGGACGTGATCCATGGCCGAAAAAGAGGAAAAATATGGAAAGATTATGAACATATATCGTTGAAACTTGAAACATGTCTAAAAATCCTCAGATGGTCTGTTTCCATCAGGCTATGCAAAGTGTCAGAGACTGTCAGAGGGTTGCATCCCAAACCATTGAGTTGCATAGTTATGCCCGTTGCCAGTCTTAATTCTCCACATAATCAATTATCTGAGAAAAATGGTCGTCATATTGATTATGGATCAAAACCCTGGTACCCTAGGTACCCTGAAATAGCTGGCTCATGGATGTTGATTCTCCTAAATATGACAATAATGGGTTTTGACCCATCCCCATATGTTGTCAGCTTAGCATCTTAGTTGTGCAAGTCTGGTGAAATCTGATGGCAGCCGCCTCAAATCCAAGCGATTCAGCTGGTGACGGCGGCCCCAAAAATTCATCATGCCTCCGCCGGACGTATCTGGGTTACTAAGGGAGTTCTCCCCAATTTGTGGCCATTGAAGAGGGGAAAATGATGGAAACTGATGGAAAATGATGATCAACTGAGACACCATGAGATTATGATTTGGGGCTTTTCCCAACACTTTCAGACATCCAGCTGGCTTCATGACCTATTGCAAATCCTGCGTCAACCTATCGGAGCACCTTCAAGGGACTCGATGCGGTTGTAGGCAAGGTGCCTCCGTTTGTCACATGTGGAAACAGATCTCGCCACAAGCCTCATGTGGGAATAATCAATGTATTTAAATGTCAGGTACGTTCAGGTACCTGACCAAGGAGATCACAGTATACACTGGGAGGTAGTGATTTCTTTCTATGTACTCCGTAAGCCCGGAGGCTGATGGCCAGGATGTTTGACGACTGAAAGGCCCGATTCAAAGGCATATGGCTCCGAAATGGAGGCAGTAATTAGTTCAAGAAAGAAATCTCCTGGTGGACAGTGCCCTCTTCCGCAAGTATTTGGTGCCAATAATCATGGCTGGATGCTTTTACATATCCATAATTCTCCATATACGTCCCCCGGAAGACTAAGGATGGTTTTCAGATGTCTTGCATTGTCTTGTCGCAGTTGAGTCACAGCTGCTCCAACGCATAAAGGCCCTTGAAAGACTCAAGGCCCTGAAGCTCGTTGCAGGACAAGTCCAGGAGCTTCAGGTGGTCTGCCACTCCCATGAAATCCTCAGGCCTTCAGGTGATCTAAGCCAGCTGGTCATTCCGTGAACAGCTTGGTTTTGTTTGGGATTCCACGTTCTTGGATGATGAAATAATATGAAATAATCCTCTGTAAAGAGTGTAATCATGTATAATCCCTGAATCATCAACCAACCGGTTTTGAACACTGCTCATTTCCTCACTTCCTGCCTCACATGTCTGATGCAGTTCCCAGAGAGGATCAGCTCCTGCTCCAGAGCATGGCTATGACTGACACCGCTGGACTCCGCTGGACCAAAAAGGAAGTCATCAAAAAAGAAGTGTCCATTGCCTTTGATTGTGCACATTATCAATCATTATTAATCATGATTCAATTATGATACATGATCCGTTTAAAGTTGTTCAAATCATTCTGCACCTTTCCACTTCCAAGATCTCTTAGGGGCACAGCGGTCCTCCAGAAATGGAAACTGAGAAATGCCTCCAAGATCGCGGATGCGATTCATGTGCAGATTCAGCCTGCGGGTCCTTGCAGAATTCGCGGCACAGAGGTTGCTGTTGGAGATCCACCCTCCGAACTATTTTAAAACCGCTTCTGCGTTTCTTTTGCAGGATTCACTGTGCTTTCCGAAGTGTTGGTTGAATCTGCTCTTTGCAACAGTTGTCAAACCTGCAAAAACCTGCTACCTCATCAGTGGGATTGCCAATTCATCTGAGCAATGCACTGCGCATACTCACCGGCACCTGAGTGTTCTCCTGCGGAATGAATCTGATTGCGAACTGGACAAATCCAGGGTTTAGGTCTGAATCCCCCAGCCCACTTTGACATATCATTACCCCTGTCACATCCGGCTACAACGGGTGCACAACCATAACTAGGCCCCTTGGATTGAGGTAGTCATTTCTCCATCATGATGCAAAGACAACCGTGAAACAAGTTCCACACCTCCAATTTCGCATAGAGAGGTTAGACCAGCTGCTAGCAAGTCCAACACGGCCATCACTCAAGGCAAATGGTCGACTGGCATGGCTCTACCGGCAGCCAAAGATCTCAAACGAAACTATATCCCAAGCAAAACCAAGGCTTGCATAGGCGGTTTCTGCGCCATAGTTCTATTTGTTACTCGTACTTTTCTACTTACTGCACACGAATTTGATCTCTTTTTGTGTCACTGCACTTCAGCCAAGTTCGCAGGGAGCATTTCATCAGGTGTTCCAAATGCCAATTCCAGTTGCCTGGCGATCGGCGCAGGTGCTCACGCCCAAACGCTGCGATTTCAGGATAATAGCCGTAGCATGTAATCCCATCCCCCGAATTCTAAACCCCATCAGAAACCATGGTTTAGTGAGCGATTGAAACATGTTTGCTGATTTTGGAGGGGTGTTTAGTATATTTTAGTATTGGGGCGATGTGATTATGCGATATTTAACCTTTGCAATTAATCTACCGACTCTATTGCGCTTCTGAGAGTCGAGTTCCCCAACGGTAGGAGCAGCAAACTTTTCAACCACGCTGACGCATCTTCTCCGACACTTTGGCAGGCAGTCAGCGCATGGTGTCGCTTACTTAACCTTGGCTTTTTTGACGTGGTTAGAAGTGTGCCGTTATGTGACCAATACATGGATTTGTCTGAAAAATGGGATGCCTCTGAATCCACTGGTTAATGTCCAATTTGCCATTCAAAATTGACATTTCGGAGTATCCTCCGTTTTTGGACAAGCCCACATACAATGACATACAAATACTGAAATACTGTTTCCTCTCAAGCCAAAGTGTCTCCAGCACCTGGCAGTGAAAATGCCCATGTCCCATATCCATCCTATATCCATCCCATATTCTGGGTCACCCCAGAGTGTCCTAGACATTCCTAGACGGCCAAAATCCACCCATTTTTTCCAAGACACGGCCGTTGCTTCCGGCACCTCGCGGGTGAGATGAAAATCCTGGGGCCCGGGCCATCCTGTGGCCTTTCGGCCAAATCATTGAAACAAAAACTCAGTGAGTTGGTTGTTGCACGCCTCCACAAAGTGACCTGCGCAGAAAATGAATCAGGTGCCTGGTGGCTACTGCAATTGACTCAGTGCTTTGACCTCAATTGCATTGCAACTTTACATTGACATACCGTAACATACCAATGGGAAAGCACAAGAGCAATTGAGAGAACAGCCAGCCTGCATCGCCATCAAGAACAATGCTGTCGCCGTCCCATGCATCAAGCATTCCAGATGCCTGTGAGAGGGGCATCAATCTGCAGACCCAGTGGAAGTTCTAAACGGATCACTTTGTGTCAGCTTGGAAATTCTGCGGAGACACGCAGAGCATCTTTGGAACATCGTAAGTTTTTCTCATAGGTCTGCAACTCTGCTGAATCTTGCTCTCGCTCTACCTTGCCCTGGCTCTGGCTCTATCCTGTCCAGGATTCAAACACCATTTTTTTTTTGAGCAGAAGTGATTCTCCTGGATGCTCCGGTCGCTACTGATGCTACTGAGTTCCATTTTTGCTTAGGTGTGTCTTGTCCCTGCAAGTGGATTGCTGGTCCATGCCAGTCCTATCTCAACGAGCTCCGTCCGGAGCACAGTCCCGGAGTATCGGAGTATCAATGGTGACAAGTCGTCATCAGCACCAACCAGTATCAACACCTTCTTAATGCTATTCTTGTTCTTCATGTTCTTCGTTTTCTTCTTCATTATTCTTGTTCTTCTTTTCTTTCTTCTGCTCCTCCTCCTCCTCCTTTTTCTTCTCCGTCTTCTGGAACTACTTCTTCTTCTTCTTCATCTTCATCTTCATCTTCATCATCATCATCATCATCGTAACCAACAATACCACCGGCATATGATGAACTGCTCATGTCTCAATTCCTGCTTGGGGGTGCTATTGAGTGTCTGGACCGGTCCCCTCAACTCCACAATTGCTGTGCTTAGGGTTGCAAGGGAAATCACATGTGCGGTTGTGTCTGTTTGTCCCTTTTGAAAGCCCTGAAAATATGATCGGTATGATCCAGTGACATCTCCCGCAATTTGAGCCACTTCCGGAGAACGCTGACCTCCAGTCTCTCCGTGGAGCACTTCGCCTGGTACAGTCAAGATAACGAGGAGTCCACTTGTAGCAATTGGGTGGTTGTTTTTTCTTCTTGCTTTCGAAAAATTGGCAGCCAGCATTCACCTTATTCTTACAGAGATCAACCGTCGAATCTGTTCAACCAGAATATGTGTGCGCTACTTCTACGACTTTCTGAGCAATTGGTGAATATGTCAAACTAAATTCGACTCCCTACACTTAACAGTAACTTCCTAGCGGCAGTGAAGGCTGGCTGCATCTTGAACTGTCTCTTGACTGGACGGAAGCTTGAGGCTTAAGAAGTGAAGCACGTTCGATTTCAGGATCTTTCATCTCATATTCAAGGAATGGGTTTTAAGATGGAGGCTTCCTGAAATGCGGGAATCCACGCATCATCCAACATTAGACCGTTTTAGTATTGAAACCCATGGCTTTGGGGATCCCCCATTTTAGGAAACCCCATATGTATCCATATGTCTTTGAATGATCTTCTGGGTAACAGTAGATCACGGGCTAAGCTTCGAGCAGACTCTCCTGCGTTAAGTGTCAACCTGCTGGCATAGTCGCTGCTGACTGTGCGCAACAGGATGTCCAAAACCACTGAGGTATTCAGAAATAAATGGCTAAAGAGTAGAACTGCTTGTACAGCTGGTGAAATCAGATCTTGGGGGTTCAACTCTCAAGTCTTGTAGCCAGGTTTCCACAAGGAAGGAACTCATTTTTTGCAGATGTCCCACTAAAGCATGGATGCGATGCAAAGATCCTTTTCAACACAAAAATTTGTTCAACTCATGAGAGTTGGATGATAGCGCCAATATCCATCAATATCCATCTGATATTCTAATCTATATGGATATCTATAATATCATTAGCAATCATCATGTCCAAATCTTCCAAGCCGTCCAGTCATCTGAGTTCCAAACCCGTTGCTTTGTGGAAATGAGGGCAGGGCCTGCGAGTTGGTCACCGAAACAAACATCCTTCCAAGTCCACGACCACGGGTAGAAGAATGGTATTCCTAGCCGCTATAGCCAACATCTTCCACAAAAAATCGTTCAGTGTCTCAAAGTTCTCCTAGTTACATCAGCCTTGAAAGGTGACCCAAGAACTGATGCAGTTGCTGTGCCTGGGCTGCCTGGCTCAGACCTGGCAGACCCGGTTCCCCAAAATGCGATTGATCCCCCAGTGGTTCTTTCTCTTGCTGCTCTTTTTAGAAGGTAATCTTGACACCTGATATCTATGCAATATGTAAATATATATATATAATCATATATATATATAATCATATATATATAATCATATATATATATATAATCATATATATATATATATTCACATATATAATCATAGATATGATCATAAATATATAGTCATATATATATATTTAATCATATATATATATGTAATCACATATATAATCATATATATGATCATAAATATATAACCATATATATATATATTCACATGTGTATATATATATTCATATATATATACATTCATATATATATATACACATATATATATATATTCATATATAGTGACGGACATATACTTAGAACATCAAATTTTCCAAAATTTCGGAACCTTTTCTTAGAACATCAAAACAACTACACTTAGAACATCAGAAATGTTCTAAGTACGCACTTAGAACATCAGAAAAACAGATACTTAGAACATCTCCTTTGATTTTTTGCATACTTAGAACATTAAACACACATATACTTAGAACATGTCCTGTTACTTTGGTAAATCTGCATATATACACACAAATACCTTGGTGAACACCATACTTAGAACACTTTCTCCCCTCACTGCTGCAGCATTCTATACCTTTTCTTCGGGAACAATATCCCAAGCAGTCTTCGCTGCAATGGGAAGGTCTCTAGTATATAATTTGTGGGTTTCCTACAGGGGGTAGTCAAAGCATAGGTTTCAATACATATATGTATGGTTCCCATTGGTTCCCCACTGGGATGTTCTAAGTATAGCTTGGAAATGTTCTAAGTATAGGTTTTGGGTATGTTCTAACGACTTAATACTTAGAACATCCCCGCTGTGACGGTTTTCAGATTTTTTCCAAATGATGTTCTAAGTATGTGTCCGTCGCTATAACTATATATATATAATATATTCATATTCATATAACTAGATATATATTCATATGTGTATATTTATATATATTCATTATGTATATATACATATGAATATATATTCATTTAACTATAGATTTTCATATATATATATATTAATATATGTATATATATTCAAAGATATCATACATACATATATATTTTGAAACATGTGCATAAATATTCATATATCATATATATATATATACGTATATCATATATATATATATGCATATTATGTGTATATATATATGTATATCGTATATATATATGTATATATATATATATCAGTTAGCGGACACCTTGTTCATCGGGAGTGTGCCATTCTGCCCCCCACATTCATTTTCACAAATGCATTTACTCATAGAATTTTAACCAAAATATCAATCATTTTACCAAAAATTGATCAACACTATTCCCAAAGCTATTCTCATTCATTTTGGGGGATTTCATCATTGGTAAATAGTTTGGCAGGTGGTGGGTGAACAAGGTCCCCTACATTCATTTTTCAGCTCCTCAATCTAATTCACACATGTGGACGAAAAACGCTATTCTTGTTCGTTTTTCCCCGGCGCGTGGCTGAACCGCTTTTTCAACACCTCTGCAGCAATCAGAATCGATCATTTCTTTGTGTCCCATCTGAAAAGGTACTGCTCTGCAGGAACTTTCTCCTCGCCGTTTTTCCAGTCTCCTTCGACGCTCTGTTTGGTCGTGTAAGCAGTGGGAGACATTTCAATTATCTGGTTTGGAACAACCACCACCCACTTAATACATCTCACTTTCTTCAACGAATCCTTCTCGAAGAGTTTGTTCATCACATCTTGCAGGGCTTTCAGTTTGAATGAGTGTCCCTCAGCCTTGGTGGTCTGCAACAGCCACAGGGTCAGATCCTCTTGTTTTTTGGCTTTGACAGTTACGAAGAAAAAATCTGCAGCCGGGAAAATCTTTGACGAAGGGCAATACAATCGGTCAGGCAAAATCTTTGTAAGGTCTGGCGCCTTCTTCACTTCTTCCTCTTTGTTTGGAACAGTGATGGTGATGCCCTTTGCGCAAATACCTTTGAGCGCTAGCTTCATTGCTTTGTCAGATGTCAGCTCTTGTTTCACGTGCTTCTCAAAGAAACTGCCAACCACAGTGCCCAAAGGGCTCATGGACATAAAGGTGGTGATGAAATCTAAGCGCTCTTGCTTTCCACGGATCTCAAGTTTCTTCTCAAGCAGACCCACGACAACCTGGGAGTCGAGGAAACGCACAGTTGCCGTTTTGAAATCCTCCGAAGTGCTCATTTGGAACAGGTAGCTCAGCTTTCCTCTTTTCTCGGCATCCGCGTTGTCCATGCTTTCTGGGCTAGATCCTGCAACATTCGCAACGTGCTTGAGTTCCGCAGTGCTGATTCCGCCCATGTAGTTCTCAACAATGTTCTCTACAGACTCTTCTTGTGCCAAAGCTGCAATAAGCGCACAGTGCCACCAAGTGATGAGTAAGCCTTGTTCACAGACTCTTCTAGAGGATCTGGCGCAAACATAACATGTTTGAATCTTTGAACCTCCTCCTTTGTCCATACAGGCATGAACCGGACAGCACTATGAACCCGTTGCTGATTGTATGCAGAATGGTGGCTTGACCTGCTGGGTGATGTGAAAACCATAGTGCATCCCATGTCTCGGTTCTGTAGAGGCGTCCTGTTCTCACCTCCGATGGGGTCAAACAACAGCACTGTCTCTGCGTTCTTGAGAAAGTTCAAAGGCTTTTGCTCACCATGTGCAACGACCTTACCACCGGCTCTTGACCACCATTCCTGACCTCTTTGGATCACAATGTCATAGTTCTTCTCTGCCAAGAACCCAGCCATGTAGGCAAGGAAAATCGACTTGCCAATGCCGGGAGTGCCAGTGATGACGAAAAGTCCAGTGCGTTTGGAACTGAACCTGGTCTCAAGCCACTTCATTGCCTCTTCCCGCATTTTCGGGTAGCAGGGGCGCACGATCAGCTTTGAGTCCAAACCTTCATTTCCAAGAATGTAGGTGTCAAACTCCTTCACCTCGTTTGCCTTCCACTCGCTTGGCTTCTTCTGGACAGCTTCTTCGAGCCGCTTGCAAAGATCATCTTGCACTGGGACTGCCTGAAACCAATCAAGGAGACCCAAAAAAAATACCACCCCAAAAACCAATCAAATACCCCACTCAGATTAACATGCTTATGAACCAGAGAGAAATAAAACAATAAAGCCTAAAAAGGGGGAGTGAAACAAAATTTGGGAGTCTGTTAAATTCAAGGGGCTGGTGCTGGTGTGTTAGCTTCGCGAAGATTGTTGTGCAGCCGCAAGGCCACCTGCTCTCTAAGGTTCTCATCACTAATTGCTGATTTCAGTAGACTCATCAAAGCATCAAAAGTGGCTGTGTAGAGGTCTTTTTCTGAGAATTTGTCCAGCTTTGTGGCCACATTCGTCTTCACGGTCTCATCAAACTCTTGCAGACAGTCACGAAACCATGGACCATCGAGTTTCCGCTTCTTTGGCGGCGGCGCTTCTGCCATTTCCTCGGGATTGCATACCAATGTCCGGAATACTGCAGTAGCAGAATGAACGTATGTGTGAATGTGCAGTTTGTGAATGCAACAAGTCATGATCTCTCTTAAATAAAATCCTGAAAGTGCTTAGCTTGCACCTGCGATCCAAACATGCAACAGATTGGTATGAAAACCCCAATCAATATAAAACTGGTGAAACACCCATGGTCTTGGGAACCCAATAATTGGGATTTTCAAATCCCCAACATTTGGGACTTTAAAATTCCCAAGTCTTGGGATTTTGAAAGGCCCAAATGGTGGGACAACGGGTGTATCTAAACCTTTAACAATTCAGATCTCAAAAATGATCGTTTCTGTCCTTCAAGGGAATAATATTGTTGTCCTAATTTCTTCTCAATACCAGTGACTATATATTTGACACTCCCCCAGTTTGATGTTCTCTCTTTCTCGGTGATGGCTTTCTTACGATATATTTTCACTTCATCACCAACTCTCAGAGTAGGATATTTACGGGTTTTGACCCTATTCATTTCCAATTTCAGTTTTACCTTCAAATGGTTCTCTTTCTTGTGGGCTTCATTTGGGGTCATGTCACGGGCTGAGTGGATCATTTTGCTATTATATGTCAATAAAATCTCATCCAAATAGTCAACCCATTGTATATTATTCTTACCCTTTTTGATATCAGCATCAACCCTCTTGAAAAGCATATCCTTAAATGTCCTATTGAAACGTTCAACGAAATGTGGATGACTCCTGGTTCTATAATGTTGGATCTTTTGGTCCTTGAAGAATTCCTGCATTTCAGCGGTTTGGAGTGTGCCCTCATCATCGGAATACATAAGCTTGGGGCGTGATCCCATCCTCCGCATCCCTTCCAAAATCCCAGTAGTGACATCAACCATATTCTTACTTTTAATAGGTGTTACCACGGCTTTTCTGGAAAAGACATCTAACAACACCAAACCACCCTTATATTCTTGGTTCTTCAGATCTTTGGGAGAAATGAAAAACAAATCCAGTTGGTATTCATAATTGGCTTCTGGGGCAACAAAGCTATTGTATCCACTCAATTGGGTTTTCCTTTCAATATTTTCACTGAACCAATCCTTAACATCTTGCATAGTGATGGATGGATCTTTTTTTTGGCATCCAAATAGGTTGTCCTTTGTGATCCAAACCCTGCACGATCATAATATACATCATTGATAATCTTATCCTTAACAGTCATATAAAATATACTTATATTTTATAATCTAATATGATATTTTATTACTAAAACACCGATTACAGGAAGCACAGAAGGCAACACAGTTGTCCTTCAAATGGGGCTGGTCATTGTCCATGCGCTGGGCAGTGAGATTGGAATTTATGTTCCCATTGTCAATTGATAAAGTAAACCCACATCCGCACTGGCAACATTTGTCATTTATTCTATCCTTCAACCATTGGGCATCCATATAGTTGAACCTATCAACAGATCTACCT